TACCTCTCTGTGTTTACTCTTGCCGTCCTCGCCATTGACTGAGGTGCCCGTACCGTCTTCCATGCCCCCTTCTGATCCTGGTACATCAGGTAATTTAGACTGTTTACCTATTGCTCTTCGGAAAAATACTCGTTCGTATGTTACTAATCATCCCATTTCTCATTTTGTTTCATATGATGCCTTGTCTCCTGTCTTCTCTTGTTTTACTTCTCAATTATCTGATATATCTATTCCTAAGCATGTACAGGATGCATTATCTGATCCGGGTTGGAGGAAAGCAATGGAGGAGGAGATGGATGCCTTACATCATAATGGGACTTGGGATCTCGTTCCTTTACCTCCTGGTAAACGAACTGTTGGATGTCGTTGGATGTTATACTGTTAAATTTCATTCAGATAGTTCTGTGGAGCATCTCAAAGCCCGGCTTGTTGCAAAGAGCTTTACTCAGACTTATAGTGTTGATTATGAGGAAACTTTTTCTCCTGTTGCCAAAATTTTCTCTGTTCGTATCTTGATTTCTTTGGTTGTTAATCTTGATTGGCCCTTGTTTCAGTTAGACGCCAAGAATGACTTCTTACATGGTGATTTGGTTGAAGAGATATATATGGAGCATCCACTTGGGCTTATTGTTCAGGGGGAGTATGGTAAGAGTGTATGTCGGTTAAAAAAATCTTTGTATGGTTTGAAACAGCCACCGAGGGCATGGTTTAATAAGTTTTCAGATGCAGTTTTAGAGTTTAGTCTTCTTTGATGTCAGACAAACCATTCTGTGTTTCATAGACAGACAGATGCTGGATATGTCCTATTGGTGGTCTACGTAGATGATATTATAATTACTGAAAATGATTCTGAGGGGATTGCCAAGTTAAAACCATTCTTACAGGATCGATTTCACACTAAGAATTTGAGAAAACTCAGGTATTTCTTGGGTATTAAAGTGACTCGATCTAAACAGGGTATTTGTTTATCCCAGAAAAAAAAATGTAGTTGACATGCTTGAGAAAACAGGTTTGCTCGATGACAGACCTATTGATATTCCTATGGATCTGAATCAGAAAATTTTTGATGGATGATGGTGCACTATTTGAGAATCCAAGTCGGTATCACAGATTGGTTAGGAAGCTCAATTGTCTGATTATTACTCGACCGGATATTTCCTATGCAGTCAGTATAGTAAGTCAATTTATGGGGTGTCCTAGAGTACCACATTGAGATGCAGTTACTCGTATTCTGCGATATCTCAAACGTGCTCCTGGACTTGAATTATTATATCGAACTAATAGACATCTTAGAGTAGAAGGTTTCTCAGATGCTGATTGGACTGGCTCTCCTTCTGATCGGAGATCAACCACTGGTTATTGTACTTTCTTAAGAGGTAATGTTGTCTCATGAAAAAGCAAGAAACAATCCGTGGTAGCAAGATCCAGTGCTGAGGTTGAATATAGGGCAATGGCGCATACGACGAGTGAGTTGACTCGGCTACTACACTTCCTCTAGGAAATTGAGTTTCCAGTTCATCTTCCTTTATAGTTGTTTCTGTGACAACCAAGCAGCTATTCATATCGCTGTCAATCCGGTGTTTTACGAGAGAACCAAGCATATTGAGGTTGATTGTCACTTTATTCAGGACAAGATAGTAGCTAGGGAGATTACAATTCCATTTGTAAAATCTTAAAATCAGCTTGCAAATATATTTACCAAAGCATTGAGTCGTACACGTCTTACAACTATTTGTTCCAAGCTTGGATTATATGATATATATAGTCTAGCTTGACGGAGATTGTTAAGAAAAGTAGGGTAGTATGTGTAAATTGTTAATAGTAAGAGGGTGTATGTGTAATTCTTATTATTGTAGGTTAAATATAAATAAAAGTGATGTATGAGAGCTAGATTAAGTTTTTAACCCCTCTCTGTTTCCCTCTAAATATTGTCTCTAATATTATTGTTAATTCTCCAAACTTAACAATATGCATTTCACTTATCTCTTAATCTTAACATGAAACTTAGCCTCAAAAAATTCTAAATCACAACAAAGGTTACAAACCGAATATACATATGTATGAACCTAAGTACGACCTTTGAAGATAAATAACTATTCATGTTTCTTATTTCGGTGGTGGTGTTTTGATCTAGGGCCTGAATAAGGATAATGAGAGGAATGGCGTCGTTAGTGGACCAACGTGGCTAAAATCTATAATCATTCAAAAGTGTGCCAAGGGGATGAGGGGAAGAAGATAGAGAGACAACGACGGTTAGGATTAGGGAGAATAAACCCAAGAGAAAGAGAGAGAGAGAGGAGACAAAATCATGTGAAAGGCTACAAAGCTTCAAATGTTTATTTGCCCAAAATATCCATAAAAATACACACTATTTTCATTTAAAGGGTATATTCTTTATAAGAAAAGAATGAAGATAAATAAAATAATACATTTTACAAAGGCTCGTGAAAAAACTCAAGCTCGGCTCAGCCTCTAGCTCAAATAGAAACAAGCTTAAAAAATTATCCATATTCAACTCATATTATAAAACGAACGAGCTTGACCAAGCAAAAAATGAGCCAAACCTGAGCCGAGTCGAATTCGAGTAGCTGGATTCAGTTAACAGCCCTATGTGCAACTATGAATGTCCCATTTGAAAAACGATACACCTTCCAATACATGTTTTGATAACCTTATGTATAGGTACTAAAATATCTTCTTCCACTCATTTGGCATCTTTTTAGTTGTTATAATCTTATTAAATAAGTTAGTTAACCAATATAGCCCAACATCTTCTAAACACTCCCAAACACCATCTAATCCAAAAGTTTGTCAATTTTTGTTTTTTTCTGATGCATTTTTACTTCCGACACCCTTATTCTACAAAAAAACTTATGTCGGTAGTCTCACTTTTGTTATTATGTTGTTCAACCACAAAGTTTCCCACATGGTTATGGTTAACTTCCCTCGTATTTCTTTCTCTTATTTTATCATATACTTAACTTCTCTTACCGCTTTTTTAACTTCTTTATTTACGAGTTTATGTTTGTTTCTTTTGTTTTTACCGCACCATGGACATCATTATTCTACCACCAAGTTTCTTTAGTTAATGGTCCATTACCTTTTGATTCTCCAATGCCTCTATTAATATTCTCATGATACATCATCATGCCACCTTATTCCACATTATATTAGTTTCATTTTCTAAATTTCTTGTTGCTTCTTTTAGTATTTTATTGTGAAATAAAATTAGGTTTTCTTCTTTTAAATTTCACCACGTAGATCTTGGTCTTTTAACATCTTTTTTTAGTCTTGAACGAGTTTTAAGACATATACTTAATACCATTATCCTATGTTGTGTGGTCAAACTCTCTACTGCAATGACCTTACAATCCTCAAAAGATAAAAGATATATTTTTCTAGTTAAGAAAAAAACTATTTGACTCCTATTTAATCCACCGTAAAGGTGATTAAATGTTCATTTGTTTTTTATTTGTTTTTCAGAAAAGTGTCAACTATCATAAGGTATTATTCCACTACAAAATCTAGAATAGACACCTCAACATCATTGTTATCTACAAACTCATGTCCATCATGAAACATCTCATATCCACTTTGATCTTGTCATTTATGACTATTAAAGTCTCCTCCTATGTATATTCTCTCTACCACAAGTATTTCTTGCATTAATTCATCCATAAATTCTCAAAATTGACTTTTATATCATCTAATCCTACTTGAGGTGCATAAATTTTTTGTGCCCTTGATGAAAGAAATTAAAAGAACAAATCTAGACAAAAAAATTCAAGAAAACCGCTTCCATGGAACGGGAAAAAAAATTTTGAACAAAAGATACATATAAATGCTAAACTGGGTCTAGTCTATATAATAAAATACCTATAACTAATAAAACAGCTCTAAAATTAAGCATTTTTCCAATGTAAGAAACACCAATGACTGAACAATTTTAGCATCAAAAACAATGTCACATTGCATATTTTTTTGAATTTTCAATAAACTTAAGTCACTTAAGCAATCACCTTTGACACATAGCCTATAAAGAATAGGGGTGGTAAATTCCAACACGATAACACGATACAAATTAATGAGTTTGGATTGACTTTTTTTTAACACAAACTCGTATATGATACGACCCGCCAACACGAATTATTAATAGGTCATGTTCGGGTTCAACCAGTTTAACCCGAAATTGACCCAATTAACTCGTGTATCTAATCAGGTCGACACGAACCCGATTAACCTAGTTTTCAACTTGAATGACCCGGCACTATATAAATGAACATAGTTGGATCCCTAATCCTAAATTCATTTCACATCTAACATTTACTCTGCCTCCCTTTCGCCTCACCCTCCTGGCGATTTGACTGGCCCGACTCGAACTCCCATTCGCATGTTGTTAGTCACCACCATCGATACTCATCCACCGAACCACCAACAGTTTAGCTCTCTTTTCTCTCTCTCTCCCTCCTTCACTGCATTAGAGAAGGAGGGAGAGGGAGAGGGAGATGAACAAGTTTTGGGTCATGGAGGGTAATGGAAATGGTGGCAATCATGTGGGGAGTTGCAGGGGCAGTTGAGGCTGGTTGGGTCATGTTTTTCCGGACACAACCTGTGTAAATCTCGAGTCACAGGTCGTGTCGGGTTAGTCGGGTTTGAAAACAGATCATGTTCGTGTCCAGATAACCTGACCCGTTTAACTTGCAAGTTGTGTTTGGGGTGATGTGTCTTGAACTCGAACTCGACATGACACAGACCCGAACATAACACGACAAAACACGATTGTCACCCATAATAAAGAGAATCTATGCATGCAGCATGGACAGAAACAAGGTATCATGGCATGCTGTGACTCATAAATGAAAAAGCCTTCCTCATTTCCGAAAGAAGATAGTAATTGCTTTTCTTAGTTCCAAGAGCTTGATTGCATTGGGAAGAGTAGTCATCATGGAAAGGAGAAAACATGGAAAGGAGAAACATTTCAATCCACAATCCAGATCAGTTCATAGGCAGCACCAAAAACATACTTGTTTTGATGGCATAAGGGGAGATAGGCAAGTTGAGACTGCCCGTTGAACAGCTTCAGATGGAGTGTTTAACACATCCAACAACTTCTCTACAACAGCATGAACTTTAGGATCATCCTGTTCCAAAAACACATTTTAATGCTAGATTGGAACATTATAGCAAATTCCAGAATTTCAAGACCATATTTATCACACCTTGGCCAAATGCTTTGCCAAAGCTCCAGTGAAAATAACCACACCTTCACGGACCAAATCATATTTTTCTTCATTTGAGGCCTGCGTATTAAACACAAACACAATAATCTTATCAAGCAGGTCTTCAATTTTTGAAAGGAAATGAGAGAATATTATTAAAGTGAAAAAAAGAAAAACAGTAAATGAAAGGACAAGATAAGTTGTAGTCCTACCATTGAAGACATTACTAAGTATTTAAAAAAAAAGGAAAACAAAAGAGGACTTGCAATTATAATTTGAAATGAAACTTTCATAAATGTATGAGGAATATTCACCTTTTTGTTCAGGTAGTTCTCAAAAATCGGAAATAACAAGGATACATTATCTCTTCCATGCTTGTCAATAATCATAATACCAGCATTAATCATTCTTCCACGAACATCTGCATTAGTATCAGCCTGCAAATCAAAATCCCCAAATCAGAAATGTTTACAAGCATAGAGCATTCCCAAATCTAATCAAATATCACATGCAATGAGGGAATTATCCACAACAAGGACTGTCATTTTTTTTTACTCAGAACCGAGTAACACCATTTTATATCAAATTCATTAATCAACATCAGGGGAAAGCCGAAAAAAATGCAAATATAGAAATTTTTTCATCCTTTCTTTTTTTTCTTCTTGGTTTTTTTTCTTTGCTTTGTGGTGGGTGGGAGAAGTATAGTTTCAACATTTTCGAAATACATACTTTCTCAACCTTATTATACACTCTTATCTCCTGAGACTACCAGGCATTTTGATGATTTTCATGATCTGGTGTTTCATACCATGAGCAAATATTAAATTTGAGACTGAATCTAATTGCTGGATAAATACGAAGATCAATTTTTCGCACTCTCTCCATAAACAGTCCAATATATCTCCACAGCAACAATGTAGCAAAAGCCAGCCGAGGTTAAAACTTCATTTGCACGGCCATAGCCAAAACAACAAAGCAATTATTACCAGTGCTCGTGAGATCAAGAAAGTCATAACAACAGGTAAATCTTTGGTTCTAAGCACGTCTGCCGCAGAATGTAAAGCCAATGCTATCCCTTGTCTGCCTAGCCAACCAGCATCAATGTTGTCCCCACTAGAACCAACATCACGAATATACAAGGAAAATAACGCTGAAAGAGATTCCTGAACACATCACCACTCCATAAGAAAACCACACTAGCATTTTGTTACTAAGGGCAACCATTGAATTCACAGTCACCTGTATGGTATCTGGGTTTTCATCTAAAGCAGCAGCCAATGCCTCTGCAGCAGCTACTCGTACATTGTAGTTAACATGGGAAAGAGCTTTGAATAGTCCAGAATAATCAGTTCCAAAATCATGGCCATAACGATCCCATATATCCTCCGCCAATTCGGCAACAGACTGAACCAAAAGAGACATTATCTTAAAATTGTGAAAGATTACTGTAAATAAGCAGAATAAAGTTTGGAGCAATAAAAGGTTAATAATGATACAGCAAGGAAATAAATAAATCAGTGCCAAAAAGCTGCTAACATATAAAAAGACACATGTACTTTGTACGTTTAGTCCAACCAAAAACTGCCAGGACATAAACCTAAACCAGATGACCTGATGAACATTGTACATTGCTGAGTACTACAAAGTAAAAGCAGGTCCATTCACTAGAAGCCACCCTGCTGAGAAAAGGAAGCAATGCCATGCAAGTCCTAATTCCTGCCGTAATACTCATACTCAAAGATCAACATACTTGAAATGTCGATCTTTCTAATACGTGGAACAAGAAGGTGAATGCTGAATGCCACTTGCTCTACGACGTCGTACACTGGTGTAGTCTTCTCCATATCACATAGAATGTGTTGAGTTTAGAGATGTGATAGTTGTTTTCAATACAAAATAGATGAGTAGAGCAACCTTAATTGAGTTGAGCCATACTTGTCTATTATAGGGCTCTTTCTTCCATCTTCATCTAAAAAGCTATCTCCCTATAAGAGTTTATTATATTATATCTTTCTTCCAAAACATATAATTACCGTTGAAGGTAATAAAAACCGTTTTGAAAACACCAAAAGAGGAATTACACTACGGAGTTGTGGGTGCTTTGCTATTATGTGGTTATTTGGTTGGAAAGAACTGCTAGAATATTTGATTACAAATGTGAGATAGTGAATGGATTATGGGAACAAAGTTCCTTTCTTGCCAGACTAAAGAATTCCAAGGCAGACCACTCTTTTGCATTTTGGCGGGATAGTATGCCCTATGTCATTTTTAGATGGGACTCTTATGTTTTTCAGATTTTCTATGTATTGCTTTTGCTTGTACGATCGGTCCACTTTCTTTATTGTACTCTTGGGTCGGCACAATCATCAATTGAAATTTTCATGATAAAAAAATGTATTGAATCGCAAAATTTAGTGTTCCAGAATGAAAGTGTATCACTTTGAAATGTTTGTCCCAAGACGCAATTAACTTTTTCTGGTAACTATGATCAAAGATAAACAGTTAAAATTAGTAACATTTTCATGACCGCAAGCTAAACAATACAGAAATTAATAATAATACTTTTTTCTTAGAACTACTAATCAACTAATTTTTAGAAACATTTGCACAACCTTATTGAGCTAAATAAACAAATGTATCTCTTTAAGCTGACTTTTTCCACTTTAAAACAGTGTTCAACATAGTATGCAATCTCACAAACTGTTCGTAGACTTTTCAAACTGTGGTAAATGAGATGTTTACTGCTAAATAACCAAACAAAATAAGAGGCATAAACTTCTTGAACTAACTGCAGTAATTTAAATAACACAAGAAAAGAGCTAGTACTATACAATATGGCCTACACATGTTCCTGCCAATTACTAGACATTCTGTCCACCACAAAGGGATTTTGAAAGATATAATGGACTGACAAAGGCACTGCCAAGTTGGGTACACGAATATTGAGGAATGTCCTCAGGCCATGAATCAGGAACCATTGAGGCCATACAATCTCAATACAAACTTTGTCAACCACTTAAGAATTCAAACAGCAATTTAAGAGATGTACATAACTTCCATTTTCCTTTTTTTTCAGATACATAATCAATTTTTCAGCCAAAAGTTTATTAGCAAATGAGCTTAAAGTACAACAAGGAGAGACATTAAATTCAAAAATATTTCAGGCAATTTCTCAAGCCTGTTGAAACAAAGACAAGCAAGAAGATGAGTAGAAGCGCACACCAGTATGGTGTTGTATTACATAAATCAAAAAACCAGTATTTGATGAATGAAGAAGATTATCCAGAGGCATAGTAAATGATGATAATTCAAAAAAGGACACACAGTACAAACGACCTACAAAAAAAACATTGGACATGATCCAGAAAACAGCCCAAGTGATGTGAGCAAAACACTAACACAACAGCAAAAATAAAAATAAAAAATTGCACTTTAAAAAGACATCTGAAAGCATTTCAAACCTTTTCTGGATCATGTAAAGCAATCCAAATACTGGTTGCAACCTCAACATTCTGAGGAAGAGAACGGCTGGCGACAGATGGAATGCATTTTATGGCATTTAAGCAAGCTGTTCTTACATGAACGTCTTTGGCATAAACTCCATAAAGAGCCTGTTGAAAGCATGAAAAAAATTGACTTGAAAGACATACTAAAAAAAATTGCAGAAGCCACAAAAGAAAAACATAGCACGTACATGAGCCACTTCAACTGGTTGTAGACCCAGACACAACTCATTTAATGCTGGGCCAATAGATGCTTGGTAAGCAGGAACAACACCAAGAGCATGATACAGAACCTGCAGAACAGGGGATGAGAGTTTAGCAAGCAAAAGGTAACAAAAACTACAGGCATAATGACATAAAGTTAAGTTCCAGGCTGAAAATTGGATTCGTAACTGATAGCATTTGAAGCCTAGGCACGGGTAGAACGGGATCCAAATGTAAGAAAAGTATCCGAAGAACATCATCATGAAGTCCTGTCTTTTTCGATGATAAGAGTAAACTCTCCATTATCTATCATACAAACATATATTGAGACAGAAAAATCAGTGAGTGAGTAAGAGCCTCAATAAAATGAAGAGCATCAGTAAAATGATTCCAAGAAAACCATCGGAGAAAAAAAAAATAGAATAACAAGTAGAAGTTAAGAGCATTAAACAAGTGAAATTAACTTAGAAAAATAGTGAATAAGTAAGAGCATTAATAGAGAAGCAAATCAATGAAATGATACTAAAGAAAGACAACAGGGGGAAAAAAAGGTAATAAGGGAAGTCATTACCGGAAAAACAAAGGTAAATGAATCCACCGGTAGTGCCCCTGATTTACAAGAGACTGACAAGCCATTTATTACTCTCTCGAAAAGACCAAAGGATGGCCTTCCATTTGCCTCCACTTCACCACCAGATGGAATCAGTTCCAACAAAACATTAACTTCCTCGGTCACAATTAGCCGTAAAGCAGTAGCAATGTCAAGGGCCCAATTACAGAGAGGATCTGCAGTACATTTTGAAAGATTGACAATAGTTTCAAAGGCCACATCACCAACTATCGGCGACCGGAGCAAAGGGTTGACAAACTTAACCTGTTATTGGTGGAAAGTGAAAATCAAAGTCAACCAAAACCAAAAGGGGAATAAAGCAAAAGAGCAAATCATTACTCATAGAAATAAACCAAATCCGAGAAAGAAAAATAAGCAAATCATTTCTTTTGTAGCTGGGTTCAACTTTCCGGTGCAGATCAAAGTCATGGATACAAAGGAATCAATATTGGCTCAGATGGCGCATCAGAGAATACTCTCTCTTTTTTTCCCCTTTCTTTTTTTTTTTTGGTAGTTTCTTTATTTGGCTTCACATTAAAAAAATACTTAAAATAGTTCATGACAAATTTAGAAACAAACACGAGGCTATCAGAACTCAAAATATAGCATACGCTTGTCATGCCTTCTGCTATCATTTCCACCTAAAAACCCTCATGAGCATGCTATAGGTTGTGAAGTGCTAAGGCCGTCTAAAAGAGATGTTCTCTCCAATGTGCAACAGTTTGTTACATTCTCTCCCATACATATCCAAACTGACCATTAATCATTAGGTAACTCTTTTCTGAAGTGATAGTTTATTCTCTTAACATCAAGTGCAAGAAAAGTATCATAACTAGCTTAAAAGGATCTGTGAGATAAAATGAAATTTCAAATCACATGCTTAAAAAGACAGATCTCCACAATGGTGCTATATGTAGGAAATGTAGTGAAAGTGTGGATGATCTTTTTTCTCCATTGTACGGTAGTGATAAAATTGTGGTTTAGAGCTATGAGTGAATTTGGATAGAGCTGGGTATTTCCAAGAGGGTGTGCCTTCTTATTGGAGGCATATTATGGTGTGTTTGGGAAAGGTTGTAGAGGATCTATATTGTGAGAATGTGTATGTATGGTAATTTTGTGGGTGGTGAGGTTGGAAAGGAAAGACAGAATTTTTGAAGTATTGATTGAATAGCAGCTTGTAACTAGGGTTTTTCATATTTTTATAGGAATGGAACGTTTGCCTTTGATATATTTTCCCTCTTTCTGGATCATCCTAGGGTGGATTTCTTGTCCACCTCTTTTGTAAACCTTTCTTTAATGAATGAAAGTTTTGTTTCTTATCAAGAAAAAAAAAATTAAAAAAAAAGAGAGAACAGGTGGGACCAATAACACATCACATCCTAAAAAGTGCTTCTCAAATTTTCATTGCGTGTCCATATAATAATCAAAATGAATTAAGAAATTGCAAAATTTCAGATTGAGCAACAAGTTCTTTATCTAATACTACATGAAACGTCACTCAAGTGACAACTAGCACGCAAGTACAAAAGTAACTATGACTACGTGAGAGACTAACCAGGGATGGTAATTGACTGTGTGTGAAAACAGGATTGGCTATGGCCATCTCCCCAAGAGCTCTCAGCATCAAAGAGAGCTGCTTTTGTATAACAAAAATTCTGTCACGTACACATGCCTCCTCTCTAAGCTGCAACTCACGTGCCTCTTCCTTTGCAGTCTTTCCCTTATCTATACGGATAAACAATTATACAAAAAAAAAAAAAAAAGATAAAAGAACAAGATTAATGCACATCATGACTGGAAGTTTAAATTGACTAAAAACAGATTGCAACAATGGCATGCCAGATTTCTTTGTTGATTTTCCACTATCTTTTTTCCCCACACTAGCATTCTCTTTACTAGGAGGCTCTCGCCTTGCAGGCTGGTTGGAGTTGGCATCATCCTGTAAACAAAAACAAACAAATCTTCAATAGTGAATCCGAACTAAAATATTATCTTAAAATAGAATGAAAAGATCCACGTGTGATTACCATGCCATCATTGTTCTCATAGACCCTAAAACGGCCTTTTGCTTGTTTTGTGTTCTTAGCAGCTATGGATTCTGCAACATAAACACCTTGCTCGTTCAAAAGCATCCCTTCAGGCGTATGAAAGATCTGAAACAATGTAGGAAATTAAAGAGTGTCACAAAAATAATAAGTTAGAAAGATGAGATGCTAGACAACTCAAAAGGAAAAGAACAGCATAAAGAATTAACTAGTGAAGAAACAAATAGGTATGCAACTCGTGTGGGTTGGGCGTATTGAGATGTCAACATGGGCTCAACCCAAGTTATAAACCTCTAAACCCGCTCAACTCAAACCCAAGCTTCACCCGAATGTGCAGCCCGACAACAACTTCGTGCCTAGATTTTTAAACTAAGGTGGCGCATTAAGCTTCAAAGTTATTAGGCATCCACCATCGAAACCCATCTGAAGAAGCTCAATCCAGTTCACTCCTCACCATGAAGTCCTAGGATCTAGTCAAACCAAGCACGCCCATGAACAAAAAAAACACTAAAACCATCATAGCATCAGCACAAAACTTTTTTTGATAAGAACATCACCACAAAACTAACCCAAATCAATCAGAAAGGAGCTCATGAATTCCAATTTAAAGTTAAGGATCAAGCCACAAACAACAAAGCAAAGCCTCAAAAAACTCAAATACAAACAAAGTCGCAGCATTGTGAAGCAAATAAATAATAAAAATTCAGTCACAGCACAACTTAGAACAACTAAGTGGCAAGGACCTTCGAATGGTGTTCATACCTCAAGGTGATGATGACTGGGCGCATAGGTGACAGCGTGACTTGATTTAAGGAACCTGGTGTGTGTCTCTGCGCATGAGAGAATGCGAGAGGCAAAGAGAAAGCAACGAGAATAAAATGCTTCCTTCTAGTAAGCTTCCTTATTCTGCTTAGCACTTCATTTCTTATCATTAAATATGTACGTCTATAACTTGTCTTCCAAACGACTAAATAAATGAGAAGCAGATCATTATGACTAACCTACATGCTCTAAGTTTTGTGGTTGTAATTCCCCAAAGCCCCAATCAGATTATTTTTTGTGCTTTCTAGATTATCTTTAACAAATACATATCCGCCCAATCTTAATACTTCATTTCTAACTTAAAGTCATAATATTAGCCACTCCATTTTGAAATTTGACAACAATATTCCTTAACCACAGTAGCTTCGCTGCATCAAACTTACTTTGATTGTCGACGACTTCCTCTTAATCGTGTACATCATCTCATCTGCTGCCCTGTAAGATTTAGTTAAAACCTCATCCACTTCTTTAGTGCTATTCAATCTAGAATCAAGCTAATCACATCTGCTAGATGATTGTCTTACTGACAAAATCACCTTGTCTGACACTCTTTTTTCCCTTTACCAGGTGAGGAACAACTTTCTAAGTAAAAGACCCAGTATACAATTTCGGTATCGTTGGGCCTGTATCTATTGTTTCGGGGGATAAAACCTCAATTTCCATACTTTATGGTAGAATGGGCCCCAAGTCCCACATTCTCTCTTTTCACGAATTGACGCTTTCTAAGCTGAACTCACACAATCACAGTAGCTAAGATAAAGACACCACCAAATTTGAAGGAGCAGGATCTCTCAGAATGGAGTAGTCGTCCAACCAAAATTGTAATTTACAAGTGGAGAGAGATAAAAGCTTCTATAACTAATGTAAAATAGCATCATCCTAATTATACAAAACCACCAAACAGTTCCAACAGTGTATTCAGTTGAACCTTTGATTTCTTGATTGAAAATATTTGAAAGTGAGATAAATCTGACAAATGCCCTCATTTAAAATTCACTTCCTTCCCACTTCTAATATGAAAAACTCGCAACATTAAGAACCCTTCTAACAATTAAGGGTATCCACAACTCAGTCTAAGCAAGCCCACAAAAATTATTGAAAACTAACCCATCCACGCAAAGTTTTCGAGGACACGTCCTTCATCAAACATTACACTATTGTAGCCCCAAATCCTGACTTCTCATCTAAAGGACACAAAGCAAGAAAAACCACTCAATTCTTGCAAACCAATGACCCATATATGCACAGCATTACCTTGGTTAATTGCAAAACAAAACATCAGTAATCCTATTGTGTCATACAATTTACCAAGGATTACTCTGCATTTTTAGTCTTCTTAGCTAAGGAGGACTGTGTCATGAAGAGGCTAAAGTGTGAATAGTTTCAAGGTCTGATTTATAAATGTGAAAGGAGGGATTAGGTAAGGCCAAGGATCAAAATGTCGTGTCGACACGTCCGAAACGTCCGAAACGTTTCGAAATTTCAACACTCCGAAACGAAACAGTAGTTGAATCACAAAATTCCAGTGTTTTGGTCGAAACGGTACTGTTTCGGACCGTTTCGGTCGAAACGGCATTGTTTCGAACCGTTTCGGTCGAAACGGCATTGTTTCGAACCGTTTCGATCGAAACAGTACCGTTTCGACAAAACAGTACCGTTTCGACAAAACAGTGATATATTCGGTTCATTATGAATAATTACATTTAATACCCCATTATAATTATATTTAATACCCACTGTAATTACATTTAATACTCACTATAATTATATTTAATATCCCACTATAATTACATTTAATTCCCACTGCTCTTCTGTCTTTTATAATTTTTTTGTTATAAGAATAAATAATTACACTTAATACCCTACTATAATTATATTTAATACCCATTATAATTATATTTAATACATACTGTAATTATATTTAATACCTCACTACTGTGCAAGTTTTTTGCTTTTTTTTTTTGTTATAAGTATTAACAATTACATTTAATACCCTAATGTAATTATATTTAATACCTACTGTAATTACATTTAATACCCACTGCAATTACATTTAATTTTTAAGTATACATAAGTATCATTAATTTAATTTGATACCCTTCATTATTAGTATTATAATAAAATAGTATTATTAATTGGATTATATTACCGTAATAATATGATTTGGAGTAACTACTGTCATCATATTTATGTCACATATAGAGTTTCTCTAAGTAGCTACCTAGAGCCTACACCGATGTACGAGCCTGCTCGACACTCCACAGGGGAATGGATGTAACCATGTAAGTATGTACTCATTAGCATTTCATGTGTATTATAAGACCTTAATATTATGTAAAAATGTGTTTATTTCATAAAAAATAAGTGTTTGAAACTAATTTAAGTGACTTTCGCCTCAAGTCAAACCTTTTTTTCCCTCAAATTTAAATTTATTTTTGTAGAAATTGATGTTAACCTAATAAATATGTTGAATTAATCAATTATTTAGCATATCTTTATAAATTAATGGATTGCATTTGTGTTTCTATGTGTTTCCATATTTTTTCTGCGTTTCCATTGCGTTTCTGAAATGTTTCCGAAACGTTTCTATTTTTGAGTTGACCAAAACGGTACTTCGAAACGAAATTTTGATCCTTGGGTAAGGCATGTATCAGGGCTCCATACAGAAGATAACAGAATCTTACAGGAGAGAGCAGATGCCTAAAAATGGTAATTTTGAGTACTTGCGTTTGCTGTGGTTCTATGCGTCAGTTACATAGTCCTTTACGTTCTATTGCAGAATTTAACTTCTTACATTCTCTTGTAGAGTTTTGGGAAAGCTTTTAACAGGTAAATATGAATCAGAGGCATGTTTGTATTACCGGTATACTTTGCAAGTCTGAAATTCATTTTGCTTATCAAGAAAAAAAAATACTAATTCATTCCTTCGTATGTAAAGTTGAAAAGGGGAGAGGGGGGGAGGGGAACATATAGAAGTTGGAATTAACCAACTCAAGATGATAGAATTTCCATACTACATTGTCATAGTGCATCTATTTAAGAAAAAAACTGTGTCTTCTCCTTTAACCACAATATACCTTAAGCCCATTGTATAATGTCTTATAAAATGAGTTTAAGTTTCTTAGAGAAGCCAAAAGTTAATAACCGGCTTTCTACATTGTATGTAAGTAGACAGTATCTAAACATATAAGCAACAATCAAGTGTATTTGATTACGAAATCCTAAAGTGCCTAGATATCCAACATGAAGAAATTCAGAAACCATCGATTTTAAAATTATTATCTTTTGAATTTTTTTTTCCGGAATAATTTCCCGAAAAGAAATATCCTTATACAAGCTCAAGTTTCGCATCCTTGCTCATTTCAGCGTAGTTTATAATTGTGTTAATCTAACCAAGACAAACTTGGGATCCTAAATCTTGTACTTCGTAGTTTAATCAATAAACTAGTAAATTAACCAACACCAAAGCTTCCAAAATCTTAATAACTATGGTCCAATCAATTTGATAAAGCGAGAGAAGACCAAAAAAATCAATGTTAATGAACTTCACGTGTCTCAAGAGAGGTGAATTTGATCCACTAAGAAATTTCATTTTCTCTCATTTCCTGTCTTGAGGATTACAAAATGACACTTTTTCCTCTGGAGATCTCAAATTCCTCTGTCTTCAGGATTTGAAAATGACACCTGTGAGACAAATCCCTTCTTGAGATCGATGAAGAAATTCCAGTTTTCTCATTTCCATCTATAGAATTTCAAAACTGTTGATTTTAAATCTTTCTGGCTTGAATTCCTTTCTCAGACCCTTAATTCAAACACGATATTCCATGCAACACAAATAACAACACCTACATTGCATCAGTTTACATGCATTATTGTAACGTGTAGGAACTACCTATCAATAAAATTGAAGTCAATGCCTCCAAATGTGCAACAATGCTGAAGCTTACCATAAAAACTAATTATTTTCTAATCAACAGATACCATAAGTATTTTCCAGCTAAGCATGTCTTTGAGACATGTCCACATCGAAGTGAACAACAAACTTTGAAACAACGAATATAAACAAGTAGCTTGATGTTCCATTCACAGAGAATTTAGTATTCAGAATGTAGCACTTCTTTCATAAGAAACACAATTTTATCACTATATAGAATAAATACTACATTATACAAGCAAAGGTCAACCAGTCATCCAACCCTACAACGGTCAAAATCAGGGTAAAAAAACAACAGAGTACAATGCATCGCACAATGAAGTACTTTAGCTATGCTATTTTTGCACCTGTATATCCTTTTCAGTAAGTGCATCATGCGCATAGCGCTCTGGAAGATTTTTTAAGTGCTGTCAAAGGAAACAAAAGAATGTAAGTGTTCACAAACAAATACGATCTTACAAGATGTTTACTTTCTTTTTTCCGCATGAAAATCGGAAAAGTAAAATACGAAATTCACCTTTTCAAACTCTAAATAGGTATCTTTAGGTGTTATACACATCAAAGTAGACAGAGAATATATCGCTGTTTCCTGATCAAGAGGGTTGTCACTAATCAATCCTGCTGGTCCAAGCAGATCCTACAAAGTAAAACACAACCATTTGAGGGGTAAATCATAAAGTACATGAATATGAAATCCAAAACCACAACATACAGAGAGTTCTTAAATCTTTTAAAATTCCCATATTCTCCCAAGAGCACATTTCTTCCATTTTTTTTCCTCAAATTATTTTCCCTATTCTCTGCTTTACCTCCAAAACCCTTCTTTTTTTTTGTCAAAACATATGATGATATGGTGGGTCTGAATCTGGGTAAAATAGAAGCTTTAATGGCGGGTCTGTGAAGTTAAAATTTCAACAGCAGGTTTGCGTGATTTTCAATGGGGAGTGGCTCAAAGTCGAATTTTAATGGTTCGCATTGCAGAATCTGCGTGAAATGGTGGGGTTTGCAGGGTGGAACTTCAATGGCAGGACAAATATAGTGGGTTCGCAAAGTTGAACTTCAACAGAGGTGCAAAGTGATAAGCATCATGTATTTGAAGAAAGAGAATAGAACCATTCAGTGGCATTGGTGTGAATTTAGAGGGGAAAAAACAGCTGTTGGTGAGTTGGAGATTTGAGATAGCATCAAATGTTCACTTCAACTGGTGAAATATTTTGGCTTCTTTCAATTTGAGTAAGGGGTTGATTATGGCCGTAGGAGTCATAAATCTTTGAAAGGAAGGAAAATGTCAGGAACAAACGTTCACTTTCTAGAGGAAGTTAATGAGTTCAACTGTTATGTTGTACAGCAGTCTGGGAAAAACAGTTATGTTGTACCAATAACTCTAAAACTCGGTCTGTAACCTTTGGATAATGTAAGTCAATCTTATTCCTCAAAATGAATTTATAGTCCTTAATTTCGCTGTACTTTGGTTTGGGGATGAAATTTTGTTTTTTATTTAACTGGAATGGGGGAGAGTAAGAATGGAAGGGGAAAAGAAAAGCATGATTATTGTTAGAGCAACACAACTTAAAAAGTTACAAAAGAAAAAAAAAAGTCAAAATGCCTGGTTGACAAAAAGAATATTTGAAAACCATTGATATGCCCATCAATGGCATCATTCCCAAAGCATATGGAATCTGCAACAGCACTACAAAGCTCGCCCAACACCACTAACATTACATATCGACTAAGTATAGCAAAAAGGCAACTCCAAACACAAACCCGTCTCAGGAAAAAAAATTGTATTGTACATTTCTATTATTTTTCAGGTTAATATACAGAAGTTATGAAAAGTACAGATCTGTTCACAGTTCTATTTCCACATGACCTACATCGAGACAGAAATCAATTTAAAGTATCAAACTGAAAAAGATAACAGCTATTTCAGGCACTACGTAGTGCATGATTGGTGATGCAAAATAAAAGACTTTGAGAAGATAAAAAAGCTTATATAGAAGTTATAGCTTACCTTGCACAAATTACTCACACCATCTGTAATAAGATCAATGGCATCAAAACCGTGTGTTTGCAAACACTTTTGCACCCTCTGGGAAAAACAAATGAAGAAAAAAAAGAGAGTTACATCAGTCAACCAGCCAACTAGTTAATAAAAAATACTAAAAAAGAATGCTTTTGACCATAAGCTTGGGTAGAAAGAGAATGACAGTAAATCAAGTTGGACACAAATCATACCAAACGCTACTCAAACTATTGCCAAAATATTAAACAATAAGAAAAAAAAATAAGTGGTAAAACCTGTGTTATTATCTTCAAATTATGTTGGAATTGAAAAAAACAGAGCACTTTTAAATTTTTAATGCAAAGTCTAAAGCTAATAATTAATATCCACCAGCATTGGACAAATTTCAGTTGGATGGTTGCGTGAAGATATCCACCAAATTTCATCTGGTTCATGGATTTTGAATTAGACAAGAATTTTTGAACACAAACGATTTCATTTACTAATCACAAACAGTCTCTCTTAACACCGTAAAGCTGTGAAGAGAGAAAAGTTAATTTGAACGATTTTGTCAAAGAAAATGATGCCTAAAACAAATGAAAACCTAGAAAGACAAGCAATATGTGGAACGCTGATTACCCATAAGATGATCGTGCTGAACAAGAACATAGAATGCCATTTCCTTAACAGTAGTGCAACTAAATTAATGAAAATGCAAATTGTTCAGGTACATGCAACAAACATAGAAGGCCACATACCCCAAAAAAGTATGTAATGCTGATGGTTGCATTTCATAGATTACCCTGTTGGATGCATTGAGGTCCTACATGCTAGAGTTTTCTTTCTTTTTTATTTTTTTCAGTCTACGGAAAACTCTCATGAATAAGAAGAGGGGACTACAACAGGTCAAAAAAAAAAAAGAAGAGGGGACTACAAAAGAGAACAAGGAGTCCTCCAAAATAAAAGAACCTAACTATCTTTCCTTTCACTCCTACAAAATTGCATCAAATAAACATTTATCAAAAATAAAGGAACCCCTTCAAAAGCTTAGATATCATATACAAGAGTATCTTGGTTCCACTAGTGAATCTTGATGCAAAACAATAGAGAATTTCAATTATCTGGAAATTGTGACATTCGAGTTTCTATTTAAAATGAGAAAGTACTTCCACTAGAATAAATAAAGCATAATTACAAAGAAAAGAAGAGGCATGCTCTACATACATATCATCCGTATAACCAAGAAACTATGTCCAGCCATTTAGTAGAGACAATTAAGTGGGAGGCTATACCTAAAACACAAACAAGCCAGGCAAAGCACACCAAAAAGCTACCCTTAGCGAGTGCATCATTAACTGCACTGACAATCAAACAGCAAATGTACAATTCAAGGCTCAATTGCTATACAAGTAGAGCTATTGAACCTTTAGATATTTGGCCAAGAAACTCGGTCATATACAATCTTAATTCATCACTATGATGTTAGCAAAAGAAGACAACGAAAAAAGAACATTAAAAAAAAAGGATTGCAAAGCCTGTTGTTCTAAACCGACAAGTACCGTGTTCTGGAACCTTTTTCCCTATCAGAAACCACAGGGTAGCACTTGGTTGACAACAGCAAATAAGAAAAAATCACTTGGTCACCAACTATCTTGTTTAACCTTACACTAGGCATCACACATGACCTCACCTGGCTGTCTAGTAGTGCTTCACTCTCACTAGGGTAGACTTATTGTTTAGTTGTCAGCAAATCACAACCAGGTGTGGCGGGATAGAACTATTTTTGTAAAGCAAGGATATAGTAGAAAATTTTGACAGCCAAATTACAAAAATCTTCTCATACAACCCACAAAAAATTTAAAGCAGAAAAAAAAAATAAGTTCAGGAGAAACCCTAGTTTAACATCTTCTGGAGTCTGACAGCAGTCTTCCAAAGATTATAGTATCTTTAGTTACCAACTGGTCCAGTATGAAATGCTCAGCATTCATTCAAGTTTCAATATTGACAAAGAATTACAGGAGGCAAATATCCAAAGCTTCTCATGGGTAAGATCCAGCCCTCATAAGTGTCAAGATGCATTGTTTTAGACAATAACATGATAGAGGTAATCTAAAAAGAAATCTAAGGTTACTTAGAAACAAAAGACTACACTATTTGTTAGGTTAGAAAATCATATATCAAATTAAAGAAATTAGTTTCTCCCAGGCTGAATCTCTGCATTCCTATTTTGCATACTCAGCTTCCTTGTTGGCATGCTCATTTTGATGATGATGTGTGAGAGGAATACAGAAATTAGCAAAAACTAAGCCAGGTATTTCCACTTAATGCCAAACTATAAGTTTTTCCACATCTAAAGACAATAACACAGAGTAACATAAGCTTTCACAGCCAAGCAGACTAAAAAATAAAACTATGCACTGTGCATTGTAAATGGAGTTTGATGTAATAGACTTACGCCAACCAAATAAAGAGTGCACTGTTAGTCTATTTTTAAAGAGAAGAAGAATTACCCTCCAAACAGCATTTTTTTTTGCTGTACCAACTAGGAATGGATGATGCGAACTTGAAAAAAGTAGCATGCATGCACTAGGAGCCGCAGCCAAAAGTGCAGGTGATATCACAACTAAAGCCTTCACTAAAACCTCCACAGATGGAAGAAAGGGAACTTGAGCATCCAATGAATTTTCTGCATCACTACAGACCAAATAATCCATAAAGAAAGTGAAGGACAATTGGAAAAGCACCATTTTTTTTTTGAATAGGAAACATGATGAACTTTTAGTGATGGTTTTCATAAAGCAACATAGATATGCTAGACTAAATAACAAAACAAATGCAGTAACATAAGGACACCGGGAGCCTTTTCTATCTTACTTGTATCCAAAGCAAATGTACCATCCCACAGGGCCAAACAAGAAAAGTAAAAAACAAAATAAATAATAAGAAGAATCAACCCATGGACAATCAACAGTAATTATAATCTACAACACAGTTTATCACAATATAAAATTAAGTTGATCAAAATATTTAGTGCTGCCTTCAATGAAAAGGGTAAGGACAGGGGTGGAGAAAGAGAGAAGACATAAAAACAAAAACAAAAAAGACTCGTCATGTTTTAGATTGTACCTTGTCTTAAGAAGATGAACTTTTTCTCCAAGAACAGAGAGATAATTTGAAAACTCAAGTAAAAGAGCTTCAGATAATTGTGGAGCAGCAGCGAGAATCTTCTTAGTAGAATCATACATAGCTCTCCGGACATCCCAACTTGGATAACATAGTAAAAATATAATAAACTGCACCACATTGTTAACTAGTTAGCGACAAAATTTGAAACACAAAAAAAAAAAAAAAAAATCCCACAATTGCTAAACACTGATTCACCTGCAGCAATGATTTAACAGGAAAAGTTTCCAACACTCTGCACAATAAATAATAAAAATTCTTTCGTCAGTTTAAAATTTTACAAGTATTTACAACAAGCAAACAATTAACAATGGTTGAGCAAATACAATTGCAATAATACTCATCATAGCACAGACATACAAACCTGTGAGAATGATCCACTAGCAGAACCTCGACAAGGTCAACGCATGTCATACAGTCCTCGATCGATAATTTTGAGGCCTGCACAGCAACAGAAGCACAATAAAAGATTTCAAAATGGTAGGACAAGAACATAAAGGACTAGTCATGTGCATGGGGAAAATCAATAATTCATTTAGCATCTATTATGCTATTCAAGAATCTAAGATTAATTCACATAAATACCACACAAAGAATACCATGAACAGTGGACCTCGTCAACTCTCATTCACTTTTTTCTTTTTTCTTTTTTTTTTTGGGTGGGGGAGGGGGGGGTATCCATATTAGGAAACAAAAGGAGTCTCTCGTCCTTCGTGTTTAGTTAAGTAAGAAGCGAAAAATGAAGTATTCAAGGATATCAATGAGAATTTATCATTACACCCTTACATGTTAAAAGTTGGTTGAGAGGGCAAAAATGTCCAAAAGGAGGAAGAGGGTATCTCCTTTCAATACAATTTCACACTGATTGGTGCTGGTGGCCCAGGGGAGGCTGTATATATTATCTCAGTATACAATTTTACGTGGTCAGAGAATGAGAAAAAAAAAGCAACATTTGTCGTGACAAATCTGTTGTAATATCTTACAAGTACCAGAATAAAATTTATATACATGTGTATCAGCAGACCACAGAAGAGATTCAATGCATATTTACCATAGAAATTGGCACAACTGAAGGTTCATTCTGAGATATCAAAGACCAAAGCTTTTCCTTTGATACAATCTCATCTTCAGGGGCAACAAAAAAGGAAAATGAAAGGATTAGATATACAATAATCCACTCTATGATAACTCCAAATAAACAAATACTAACAACAAAGAATGCATAATTGATGGTCCAAGTTCTAAATTAAAGTAGACCATTTGAAAAATACCTGCTTTAACATCGACAGCCACAATTTTTCCCACGGAAAACAAAGCATAAATACCATCCAACCGTTGTGTCGCTTTGGTAAAACCTGTTTTTACCAGTTGAACAAGAGGCACAAGCAGAGATGACATCTGAAGGAGTACAGTGCAAAAGATCCAACTAAGTGAAGAAGAGAACAGCCTAGGAGAAATTCAATATTAAAAAACATAGACAGAGCAAGCTAAATAAATTTCCTCACCTGTACAACAGCATCTGCATTTTTGCACATGAGCCGTAAGCAACGAAGATGGGCCCTTCTTAAAACTTCCTTCTCCTTGAGGCCAGAAGCGATAAAATTAATTATATCTGCCTGTATAGCATCTGCAGAACTTGCAGCCCAAGATGATACAGCAGGCAAACATGCGAGCTTTACCTCTTCATTCCCTGGAAATCACACAATTGACCAAATATCTCAGATTCTGACAGCAGAGTATGTATGAGACCAAGAGAACATGAACAGAAGTGAAGTGCATACGGAAAATCAGACACATATGAATAAATTTAAGCAAATTAAAATCAGACTTTTCAAAAAATGCAAAGAAAATAAGACTGTAACAATGTGTACTTATTGGCAGAATTTCATTGCAGCCTCAAATGTATATAATTTATTGCGTGCTCCTTCTGTATCCGCTGCACTTTTTCGCATCAAATCTACTTAAGAAAGCAAACGTACTTTGGAATTGTGCCACCTCTTTGGTGTCATTGAATAGAGCGGAATGCAAGATTCTTCAATAGTTGTTATCTTCCTTCAAAACTAGTATGGGAAAGAGTTGTGTTCATGGCCTCATTTTGAACTAAAGCCACGTAATGTTTCCGAGAATTGCCTCTGTCGAATTTACAACTGCATTGAAAGGCGGTTCTTCTTTAGTTTCTTTTGTTAATTTTCTTTTCTTTTTTTGATCTGCAGTTTATTTTTCCTTGAGGATATCTTGCCCTCAACATTGTATGGGAAGAGATCGGTGAGCGTAGGAAAGATCACTTGATTTGTTGGGAGATGTTATCCAGACCTAAAGCTAAGGCGGTCTTTCGATAGAGAATTAGTTGGATAGGAATGTAGCTTTGGTTGGGAAATGGCTTTAGAGGCTCCTGTTGGAGCAAGATTCATTGTAATATTCTGTTATTAAGAGCAACTATAGGCTACAAGTTATGCGTTGGGTGCTAATGGAGTTGAAAGGCATATCTTTCAAAGTCCATGGAATTTCATTTTTAATTTTTCATTGTATTGCGGAGATGGAACGAAGGTTCACTTTTACAAGAATATTTGGGCTAGGGAGTCTTCGTTTTGTAGTTTATTTTCTCGTCTTTATCGACTCTCTTGATATCATGGCTATTGGATTGCATCTATAGCTCAGTAATTCTCTTATCCAGTTTTTGGATTTTAGTTTTCGTATGAATCTTTAATGATAGAGGATGTTTGATGTTGTTAGTGCCTCTTTTGATGGTTAATAGTGTTACTTTGACCCGAAACTTGTCCGAAAAAAGATGTAGGATTATTGATCCAACAAGTGTTTCTCATCTTTATTTTAGCCCTTAATTAATGATTCTTTTTTTCACAAGAGTTAATTGATGATTCTTCACTTCAATTATTCCTCCTATCATTGAAGATTTCAAAGATTTGGAAGGCCAAAGTGCCTTTATAGGTGCAAATTTGGGCATGGATAATTGTTCAGTATATCATCAATGTTGATGTGTTTCAAAAGAGGAGACCTAAGACTTGTTTTCTCTACACATATGGTATTTATTGTAGAGATGATAGTGAGAGTGCGAATCATTTATTTTTACATTACCCCATGACGGTATCACTATGGAACAAGTTGTTTGCTTAGCGAGTTATGTTGGTTGGCACTGAGATCCATGCCACCTATGTTGGGTTATGCTACTATATGAGCTAATTGGTTAGAGAGAAATGTGAGGATCTTTGAGGATAAATGTGGGAAGGTTGAAGGCGCTATGGTATTGGCTTTATCTCTTGGCCTCTTTTTGGGCCACGAGGTCTAACAAGTTCGAGGATGTTCCTCTTTTTTTGCATTATTGTGAGCTGGACAGCATCGCGTGGAATCTAATATGGTTATAAAGTCCATGTTTGGGTTTGTATGACTTTGTTCTGACCTGTCATTGAATTGGACGACTTGGACTCACTTGTCCACCTTTGATTAGTTTCTTCGTAACAATTTTTATTTCATTAATAATACTACTACTTCTAACCCAAAAAAACATATATTTTGTTCTCAACTTTCTTCCATAATAAAATTTCCTTTTATCTAACAAAATTTTAAAAAAATAAAGGTAAAGAAGTACCATCATCCTTGTAACAGGATAAAAGAAAGCCACATATAATTGGTGCCAGGCTGCTGAGATATTTTCCTTCGGGAGCCCTGGACAACTCTTGCAGCACATTGATCATGCCAACTCTCTGGTATGGAAATGCAAGTCTTCCTTCGGAACCTGTTCACATAATAACCCTGGTTAAAAAATAACTCAACTAAAGTTTCATTTTATTCATATAAATAGATGTATTGGCATATCAGCCAGCCATTAAACTCAACCCACTACACAAACCTCCAATCACTGATTTGACAGCATTAAACATGGCGTCAATCACATCCGGATTACTAGACTTTTCACTTAAACAACCTACTATAGCAAATGCAGCAAGCCTTCTTCCTTCATCAGCGTGGCGAGCCTGTGGCAACACCACTGAAAGGATTTCAATGGCATATTTACTCAAATCCAGGTTGACAGATTTCAAAAGCACTCCCACCGATTCCAACACGAGCTCAGGATTTCGTTTCAGCATTTTAACTGCTGATGGCACAACAAAACCGCTAAAATCGTCATGCAACAAATGTGAAAACAACGGACAAAACACTACACTCAAACCATTTCCGGGCTTTTCCCTCGTGTTTAGAACCGCTTTAACATATATATCAAGAAATACAGGCTTCCATTCTTCCAACGAAGTAGAATTTAAGCTCGAAAATTCAATTAGACACCCTAATAATTCTGGAGAATCTTTATATGGAACTCTTCCATCTTTTAGTTCCTCCATATAAGTTTTGTAAATCTCCGGTACCTGGGTAACAAAAAAGAGAGAAAGAAAATCACACACAGGGTAATCCAAAAACTAACTAAAATCAAATGCGTTCTGATTTTCACTTGGTTTATTTTTTACATCAAATTAGTTCTTTGCTTCTTATAATACTCTTCACACTGGATGTAGTTCAATTCTGCCATAAAATTATTTCATTTTTCTGTTTTCTTCCTATAAGCAAATGTTATGGTCAATACATGGGTCTATAATAATTGCATAATGAGTCGAAAAACTGTCTCAAACATAACATGAATTGGGCTAGATTTCTATTTTTCACCAATGTCAGTAACTTCGATAACAGCATACTAAGAGCATCTCTGGCTCTTGCCCTTTCTTGTACTCAAATTTAAATTTGAGTAAAGATGGTGTAAGAGCATCTTCTTTTTTTGTACCCAAATTTAAATTTGAGTAAAAATGGTCTAAATGCTTCTCCAATGCTAGACCGTTACCCATACCAAATGATAGAAAAAAATTTTAAACCCAAATCTTAATGGTGAGATTACACCCATCTTTAAAGATCTAATAATCATATTTTCCCTTCTTTTAAATTTAAGGTTGTCCTCATTTAAATTTAAGTTTATCTTCCTTTAAATTTGGGTTTCTTCGTTGGAAGGTCTATATCAAATCAAACTTTTTATCCTATTTTACTCAAATTTGGGTAAGGACTCGATATGGTCTAAGTCAAAGAAAACTGTCTCAAATTCAAAATTGGAAAGATCAAATGATTTAGTTGAAACTAACCTCTGAGAACAAATGAAAAAGGGTATGCCTACAAGCCTTTTTCAAGCGCAAAGATCCTTGAGCTGAATCAACAAAATGAAGAACTGAGCTTTGCGCCGACGCCAATCTGCAAAACGCATTTCTAGAAACCGAAGCAAATTGGGTTTTACTCAGAAGAAGACACGACCACTTGAGAAGTCTGAGACAGTTTATAAGAGACTGAAACTTCAATTGTCTCTCCATGACCTGTACAAGCGCTGCTGCGAAGACTTTCATGAACGTAGAACTGGTGCTTAATGCTTTCGAAACTACGTCATCCACCGATTTGGCAGATTTCCGATCGGCGTCATGGGTGTGTAGGGTTTTGAAAATTGAATCTACGAGTTGCGATGCTGATTCTGTGGACATCTCTCCTGCTTCCACCGTCATGTTCAGTACTTGATCCATTCGCTTTTCCCTTTACAATCAACGAATGATTTAACTGAATTGGTTGGCGTGATAGATGTTTGTGACTGTGGGTTTTCTGGGGAAGCGCGGCTGCGATTAGGGTTTTGTGTTTTGGACTGCGGAAGAGAAAGAGACGGAGAGTGAGGGAGAAGGAGAAATGAAGTACAGCTCTTTTTTCTCTCTTTTTTCTTACCACTTCTGTTTTTCTGTGGGAATTGGGTTTATGAACTTGGGTCAAATTCGACCCAACTAACGGCACTTGTCCATGCCCAAAATATTTTGAAAAAAAATACATATTGCTAAATTACGGGAACAGATCCTCTGCGGTGGAGAACTAACCGCATATTATGTGATTTAATGAAACGGCACCAATTCACTTGGTTTTGCAATTTTTTTTTTTATTCTTCCTTACCAAAACGATATCGTTATCGTTTTGGTCTAGCTAAAAAATATATTTGAAACCCTTCTCTTACCTTCGGCTTCTTCAGACTCAGGCGCTCATCTCTCTCTCTTTCTCTGGCGACAAAAAAGCTCCTGATCGTTGAAGAGTACCAAGTTTTGTGCTGCTATTTCATCTAGGTTTTCGTTCTAGCGCAAAGCTTCGTTGTTGCGAGCTTCGATGCAGACAAATCAGCTCTTTTGGAGTTCAAGACCTCAGTTTCAAATCCTTATGGAGTGCTATTGAGCTAGAGTTCAAGTAATTCTGATCATTGTTCGTGGTTTGGAGTATCGTTTGATTCCAATTCTCGGGTTGTGGCTCTGAATATTACTGGTGGAGGTAATTCTGCTTCTTTGTCTTGTGCTAAATTTCCACTGTTTGATTTTGGAATTAGAAGGGCTTGTTTGGATATTAAAGTGAAATTGATGGGTAAACTATCACCTTCAATTGCGAAGCTGGTTTTGTCACTTCCATTCAATGAATTAAACTTGTAATGTTACAGAGTACTTTTTGGTGCTCCAAGTTGCCTTTGTTTCTCTAAAATTTGTTAAATTTTGATACTAATTGTTGTTGGTGATTTTGGGTTTCTTTCAGTACAATACACAAAATTTTCACTCCAAGCTTTTTGCAATATTGATTAATAATAATTAGCTACATAATGCTTCAATTGTTAGTGAATAATGTAGTTAAGGCTCTCGTAGGATTGGTAATTTAATAGTTTTGCATTGATTCTCTGATTTTTTAGTGAATAATGTAGTTAAGACTCTCTGATTTGTGTAGTTTTGATGGTTTTGGATGTTGGGTTCATTTGATTTTGTGGACTGGTGCTGTTCTGTGTGGATAGGTGTTTGCTGTTTCAGTAGTGGTTTGCTTTTCTGGCAGATTGCTGTGCATTTTTTGGGATGAACAATGATGTTTATGAGCTAATTTGTGGTGTTCAAATCCAGTTCTGGATTGCTTTCTGCAGTTAGTCTGTGCATTCTGAGCATGGAGCTGTTTTTTAAACTATTGCATGTGTCATACCTAAAGCATGTTTGGAGGGCAAAAATATATGCTGATAGTTATGTATGTGTTGTGGTTAGTGATTGGAAACACTTCCACACACTAAAAATGATATGATTATGGGAGTGAGTAACTGATTTGCTGACTTAAGTTTACCTAAAATACCACTACCAAAGGTGTTGGAGTGAATAACTAATTGTAGTAGGAGTCATATGTTGCTTAAAACCTGCTTGGGATTGCTTTAAAAATGCATAAATATGTCACTTATTGCTATTATGTTTGCTTTAAAAATGCAGCTGCCAAGTGAACTTTCAAAATGCAGCTGCCAAGTGAACTTTCAAAATGTAGCTGCTATATTTGCTGCTATGTTTCCTACTCTCTTTTTTGAATGCTTCTGATGTGCTGGGTTGTTGCATTTATGAAATGGGTTGTTGTATTGATAAAACGAGTTGCTGCATTGATGAATGAAGATCATTATCCTATAATGTTGAGGTTTAATACCATTGTCTTTTCATGTTTGTAGTGTTGAAGAATGACAGCTTCAAGCACGGCAACAAGCAACCACGAATTAAGATATCGCAATATGAATTGCCCCATTTGTAGCAAAAAAACGATTATCAAAATTTTCGAATCTAAAAAAAATCCTAGGAAACTATACTGCAAATGTCCAGACAATGACAAACACTTTTTTCAGTGGATGACTCCTATTACTCTTCCCTCGTCGAAAATTACAAATGAGAGAATAGATGTACGACGAATTGAAGATAATATACGACGAATTGAAGACAATGTCCGACGAATTGAGGCTAACGATGGTTCAATGAAGTCAAAAATGTTTGTAGTCACTTTAGTAGTGGTGATGCTTATATTTGTGATTGTATTGAAATAAAGTTATAAGAACAATGATGTAGTGATGAAACTTGTGTTGTAAATGAACTTCATGGTTTAATTTGAATGAAATTGTGGGTTTTGTATATTGTTGTGACTTGAAATATCATATTCATCAAAAAAGATCACATTCATTAAAGACGATCACATTCATTAAAGAAGATCGCATGAATTAAAAAAAGATTAGATTCATTAAATGATTGAATCACATTCATTAAAAAAACAACAAGCATCCAACTGCTGAAGAGAACCAGCTACACATCACATCTCAACAACATCTCATATAACCTCCAAGCAAACCCTCAACTACCATCCTTCAAAGTCCAATAGGACATATCAACAGCTCAGCTGCAGACCAGTCAGCATCAGACCAGGAATTCATCGAACTTAGGAACTTTAAAGTCTAATAGCATCAATCAAAAGCTGGGAAAAAATATTACATTCATTTTAAACTTGATACATATGTCAAAAAAGATCATATTCATTATAAATACAACAAGCATCCTTACAATACAAAATGATCCAAATAAGCATCCTTATAAGTTGAATCTCTCATTCATGAAAAATGATTCAGCATCATTTAAAAAATGCACATGTGTTGAATTAGTCGGAGTACCCTACAATAATGAGATTATTTCAAAGAAATAAACTTGATACATCTGTCAAACAATAAGGTAACATATCATAACACTTTGTACACTATTTGAAGCTTGAGAAAACATCGAATGACCATATGCTTATGTACACGGATAACTAAAACTTTGTAACTGGGATAAAAAAATAATGTTTAGTCAAATATAAAGTGAATACAAATAAAAAGTGAATAAAAATATACAATATGTGATGGTTGGGAAGCTCAATTTTTTCTCTTTGTTGCTTTCTCATGCCAAGATTTTAGTTGACCCCAACCTTTGTAACCACCTTCTTTTCTTTTTAAACCTTTAACTTGGAGAAGGCTTGGGTCAACATTTTTTATTAGACTTGGGTCAACATTTTTATGGATTGAATCATCGCCACCATCACCAATTGATGCATACATACTATCCACTTCTTTGAATAATTCCTCAACACCATGTGACACCAATTGATATGCAGGTTGAAGACCAGAGCATGGAGCAACTAGTTGTACCATTCTAGGACAAAGTTGCCTATAATGTGACGCCACCATTAACTTGAGATTCTCTTCATTTGACATTAAAATGGGGGGTTGTCCTAGAACTTTTTTTTGCATCTCGTCTTTATCTCTTACATATGTATTGCTCGAGAATTTGCTTAATATTCATCATGTCCAACACTTTAAGTGCATGACCACATAATATTCCCTCTATTTCAAACTTCCGACAACTGCAATTGATTATCTCCTCATTAGCCTTAACCAATACCAAATACTCTCTATGTTCATCATATAATCGAACCACAAATTGATGTCACTCATCCAACACATCACATGATGTCGCAATAGCACACTGAAAGATATCATACTCCTCTTGAAACAGGTCAAACATAGTAGCAGTGTACACTTGCCCTGCTTGCACTAACATTGGAGCTCTTTTTAACTTCAATCTAGGTAATTTTTGCCTACCTTGGTATTCTGAGTTTGACACCTTATACCACTTATCATTCACAATTCTTTCAAAATGTACAAAGAACTGAACAATGTCGTGGTCTAGCTTTAAGTACTTCCATAAGGCTGCATTCAAGCTCTCACTCAATTGGGTGTTTCTCATTCCTGCAGTGAAAGTCCTCTTCATATACACATGCCCCCAGTTTTCTCGCAATGCCCAAGTGGCTTTCATCCACATATTATCATGCAAACTATACTCCGCAAACAACGATTCCCAAGCCTCAAATAATTCATGTTCTTCCTCATATCCATACGCACACTTTTTAAATCGAGCAGGAAATTGAGAACCATCCTTATATATATTTCCCAAATATTTCAACGCATTTTGGCAAAGATGCCAAGTACATAGCCCATGGTATGTCTCTGGCATAACTATAAAAATAGCCTTAGTCATCGCTTGATCTTGGTTAGTGAATATGGTAATAGGATATTTCCCAGACATAGCTGGTAGGAATGTCTCAAACAACCACTGAAATGATGATGCTGTTTCATCATACAATAATGCAGTTCCAAATAAGACTGTCTCCCTGAAATGATTGAAGCCAATAAAACAAGTAAAGGGTTGATACTCCTTGTTCGTTCTGAAAGTAGTGTCAAATGAGATAACATCTCCAAAGTTGTCATAGTCAATAATCATCACTAAGTCGGCCCAAAAAATATTAGTAATATGCTCCTCCGCATCCAATTGCACTCCATAATAGAATGATGGATTTTTCACTGCTTCCGTTTAAAAATACTTCAACAAATTACCCGCCTCACCATACTTCAAGTCTCGTTGCCTCATTTAACGGAAATAATTCTTTTGGTCAAGATGAGTAAAACCAAGATTTCATTTCCTCCAGACTGAGTACTTAAAAGATCATAAGAAGCCTTAAGTGACAATCCACAATCCACTATCATATCAATATTAATGTCTTGGGCTTCGAAAACCGTTCGTTGGGATGACATCATATGCATACATTCAGCAAGGTGCAAATGATGGTTGTGGTTGTCATCCTATTTCGTCACAACAAATTTATCAATTTATTTATTAAGAGATATGCACAT